TGGGGGCCCTAATGCCAATGCTGCCTGGAGGTGAGCTGTCAGGCACTCCCCAGGAGAAAAAATGAACATAGTCAAGATCTCCTAAGGACAGCTGTTATGACTACATCTAAAATGTCCTTGGGAATTGAAATAAGGGAACACTATAACTGACTCTTGTTAGGAGGTAGGACTTGGTTACAGGCAGGTTGCTGGAGGTGAAACCAGGAAAGGTACATTTCTCTCTCTCCAGTTCTGCCCTCCTGTCTGCTTCCTGAGCAGCTTTCCTCTACCAGGCTCTTCCACCATACCATTTCTGCCTTGAAGCCTGGTGCCTATGGACTGAAACCTCTCAAAATTGTGAGCCCAAGTAACCCTTTCCTCCTATAAATCGTACGTACTAGATATTGTGTCTCAATGACCAAGGAATTGACTAAGACACCAAGATAAATCAGTTGATGTCTGGCCAACCCACAGATTTTCAAACTGCAGATGACTGGTTTCATGAAGTCAGTTACTTTTTAGGTTGGCTCATCATTCATCAAAAATTGTGGTAGTAGTTTTATCAGAAAAAAAAAATATCCAAAATTGGGTGAAGGTGGGGAAAAAGACTGGAGTCATTTGAAACAGAAGAATTTTTACTGTAAAAATATTCCATCGAGCAAGGTTTGGAATGCCATACTTCTTGTATGGGAATGTTGGCCAGTGGTATGTGTGCGATGGATGTGCAGAGTTAAGGGACTTTTGAGTCACATACCCAAAACCTCCTGGAAGGGATGGTTAGAGATTAAAAGATAGCCTACAGGGCCACAAGTCCAAGTAGGATCAAAACATATTATCTTAAAGAAGGAATGCTCTTACCCTTCTGCTCCTCATACTCTGATTTGTTACTTAGATTGGCCCTAGGCTGCTCATGCCACAGACCTCCTTGACCTTCCTCTGTCCTTTCTGTCCCCTACATGAATTCCTACAAGATGTCCTCCCTTTGTCCTTTATCCTTGCTTCCCGGCTCTATCAATAAAAAGCCACAGAAGCTTTAGTTCAGGGCTGTCCTTATCAGACTCTCTCATGCTGAGGGTCTTGGTTAAGGGCAGTCCCTCTGGGCCTTCTTGGAGTTTGAATTAGACAATAATTCTGAGTAATCTGTCATCCTTCGTGCTGTGCCACGGTCATGAACTGTGACAACTGGTATCCTGTGGGAGGAACAAGGCGGTGTGACTCAGTGCAGAGGACCGACCTCCCAAACCCTGGAAAAGGAACAAGGATATGTCTGACTCTCCATCCTGGTATGGAGACAAAGGCAGTCAAGGAATAGCCTGGCACATCTTGGGGAGGTCACAGCTTAGGTTTACCAGCCCAGCAGTCTTTTAACTCTGCAATTGCTAAGTGAGTGGGGACAATTCATGTGTTCTCCTTTTTGCTCTTTTGCTTTCTTTCATATGATAGGGATCAAGCTTTATCTAAAGAGGAAAAGCAACTTAAGCAACATTTACAATGTCTCTTAAAGACATCTGGAAGTAGTTTTTAAATCTTAACTTATGAAATTATTGATAGCTATTTGAGTAAAATGTCACAGCTTCCTTTGGAGGACAGCCTGGAGATGGAAGAGTGGGAACATGTGGGCCAAACACTGAGACAGTCACTAAGTCCTGTGAAAGCTGTGCACCTTGCTTTCTGTTATGTTTGCTGGGGTGCTATTTGATCTACTCAAATGACGGAAATTCCTCCTCCTCCTTTAGTTGCCTCTGAAAGCCCCTTTCCACCTCCAAGCCATGCCATGGTCAAGAACTGCAACATACTTGTTCCCTAATGCTGTATAACATGATGAAATTTATAGTTCTCTGATTCAGTGAGTCATCCTCCCAGGGAGCTGATGGTATTGAGGACAGAGAAGAGGTAACAATGAGGAATGTGGAGGAAGCATTTGGGTAAGGGTGGAGTTGAGGGAGAAGAGAAATGGATTCTGCAAGGGAGGGTTGAATTTGATGTCTGTAAAGGGCATCTAGATGAAGTTTTCTGACAGGGAGAGAATGTAAATGTGAAGCCCAAGTCTTTGCTGATGATCTAGATTTCTGCACCTTTATCAAGCAAGTAGTAGCTGAGGAACTAAGGCTGCACCTGTATAGTAAAACCAGTGCAAAAACAGCTGGAAGTAGCTGTGATAACTGATAGCTGGTATTCTGTACAACATACATCCAACCCATCTGGGTGATTCCTATGTGGTGAGGGTATCAGCTTTCCCACTGCTGGACCAAAATACCCAACATCCATAACTTAAAAGAGGAGAGGTTTATAGTTGGGGTGGTAGCACATGCCCAGAATTCCAGCACTCTGGGAGGCTAAGTTTCAGGAACCTAGCCTTGATAACTTAGCAAAAACTCTACTGAAGGAAAGAATGACAAAAGAAAAAAGGTCTGGGGGTCTGGGGATGTAGCTTAGTGCAAAAGCACTCATTTCAATCCCTAGCATTATTATTATTATTATTTTTTTAAAAGAGGTTTATTTTGGCTCACAATTTCAAGGTTGGCTGACTCCTGGGCAGAAACTTCATGGTGGAAAGACATGGTAGATAAAAGTTGCTCAACTCATAGCATCCATGAAGCAGAAATGGAAAATGCTAGAGAGGAAGGAGCCAGTGACCACACATGGTCCCCATGGTCAGCCCCTGATGACCCTCTTCCTCCGACTGGGCTCCACCTCCAAGAGGCCCTGCAGGTATTAACTCATTAATGGGTTAACCTGTGGAGGACCACCTGCGTGACTCTCCTTGAAAGAGGAGCAATTGTCTCCATTTTGGCTGAGCCTGATCCTATTCCCATGTGTTGATACTTGCAGAGCTGGCTAAGACTTTTCCTTATCCCTTCAGCGGGCTTTAAGCAATGCATATCCATTGAGCCAGTGTGCTGATGGTAGTCTTTGAAGGTGGGAGGCATGTTTCCTGACTCCTGTTGTTTCCACATGTGAGCTGGGATGAAGCTAGATGGAGCCTCTGGATAAAGGCTATGACTTCCTGGGGCTTTAAAGATTACATATCAGGACTGAAGCACTGACCCCAAAACATTAGATACTCTCTCAGTGGTGTTATGCAGATTACGCTTTCTGCATATCCTTCTGTCTGCATTTGCAGACGTGATACCTAGCCCAGCTCATGGCACTCACCTACTTTCCGTGATTCACACAGTCACTCGTCCTCAAGGAACTCCCTTCTTCATGGGAATAAAATGCTGGTTCGGCCTTGGGCTGAGGCCTTTGTTCAGGACAGCCATCATCGTGGCTGGACTTAGGACCCCTGGGCTCCCCATAACTACAAATATGCCTTAGTGTCTTTATTCTCACCATGGATCACACTGGAAGTGGTAGACTGGAATTAACTCACTAGAATTCCACTCATTTTTCATGGGATTGCAAATGTAAACTTCCTGGGCTGTGAGGAGGACTGAAAGGGCTCTCTGTATCAATCCCCTGATGAAATCAGTGCCTCCAAAATCCAATCACTCTCCAGAAGTGTCTTAATCCAGTCAGGTTATCAGTCAAGATTAACCAGCACAATGAGCAATGAAAATCTAAAGCATGGTTACTATTTAACAGCAGAAGAAGGAGATAGTAAATATCTCTTGGTCAGTGAACACTGAAATGTCACCGTGTCACCATATGTCACATGTTCTAGTAGTCAGGAAACATTCCAAAGTGGAACAGATGTGTCCTTCATCAGAACAGCTGGTGGGGCCGGCCAGAGTGGAGGGGAATCACTGAGGGATCTCTGTGAGGGAGTGAAGTTGAACTAAGGAAGGGGGGAGAAAGCTTCAAAGAAAGGGGAGAGAAAGGGGAACCCTGGGGTGCCACCCTAAGTAGGGGCCAGAGGAGAAAATAAAGATGCAATAATCATGAGAGTGGGACAAGAAGATAGAATAGAGATGTGAACAGCAGGTGGGAAGAGGAGGACAAAGCCAGGCCTAAGGAAGAAGAGAGAAAAGGCGCTCAATACACAGGACAGGACGCCAAGAAAGGGTGGATGCGGAATCAGAATCTAGGAGGAAGAAGGACGGAGTACAGTGGAGGGTAAGCAAAGCACGGGAAATGGAAGCAAGAAAGACCCAGTCTGGCGCGCGAGGCTGCTGGTCAGGCGTTCAGAGAGGAGCGGTATTTCCAGCAGAACCCTGCTCATGGGCTCCAGAGCTGAGCGGGTGTCCTGTGCGGGAAGTCCCCGACTTTAGGGAGTCTGGGCCAGCTCCGAGGTATCCCGGGGTTGGAGAGGCTAGGGCGGCTTGGCAGGACCAGGAGTGCTGTCCGCGATCCATGCGTCTGCACCTGTGCCCAAAGAACACGCGTCTCTGACAGAGAGCCGGCCCTGGACCCATGAGCGCGCATAGAGCAACCGCGGAGGAATTAAGGCTGGACAGAGGCTGGTACCCGCGTGGTGTGCGTGGGAGCGGGTCTGAGAGTGGGGAAGGAGCAGGGTAGCCCAGAGCAGAGCGAAAGGCGGACTTTCAAGGCGCTGGGAGGCTGGACCCCGGGTGAAGGAAGGCTGCAGGGTTTGGTGGGAGCTGAGGGAAGCGAGGGAGCTTTGGCAAGTAGAGGACTTGGGGAAGTCCTGGCTTGGGGTTCGAGGGTGCGGGCTGCGCGGCGACGGCACTAACGGTGAGTGTCGGGGAGTCAGAACTCCCTGGCCGACCAACCCCAGTGTCTTTCTCTTGCAGATGACTTAGTCCCAGAAGTTACAGCATCAGAGGCTGATGGACACGGTACAAGTCGCGGAAGGGCATCCTCGGAGAGGCGGGCGGAGAGCGTGGGGAGGGCAGGCGCGCGGGCGGACGAGGGGACCGCGGAAGTCTTCGTCCTCCTGAGTCCCGGCTGCGCGAGAAGGACGGCGTGGCTGTCCAGCCGAGCCAGGGTCGGCCGCGCCCAGGTGGGAGGCACGAGGAGGGGCGGGAGCCCCGGCCAAATGGGGCGGACACCGGGTGGCGTCTCGTGCTCCATAAAGGGGCCGTAAGGGTCGCGCTGTCTTCTGCGCGGACCGCAGTCACCCGCGGAGAGCGAGGCGCGATGCCGGTCCGGTGTCAGGAGAGTACGGTACTGGCAGGTAGCGCCACTTTGGTCACCTTGGGGGTAATGGCTCTATGCGCCTCGGAGCCCTGGCCCTACGGGAAGTACAGCAAGAGGTCTGCGCCCGAGGCCACGCGCCTGCCCGCCCGCGCCGCCTGGTTCCTGCAAGAGCTGCCTTCCTTCTTGGTCCCCCTAGGGATCCTTGTCCAGAAGCCCGGCTTTCTCTTCGGACCTCCCGAGGCTGTGCTTCTGGGGCTCTTCTGCGTGCATTACTTCCACAGGTAGCGTTTTATCCAGCGGGAGCGGTGGGCAGCGTTCTGCCCCGGCTCCCGGCTCTCGGGAGCGCAGCGCGCACGGCGGACGTCGGGGGCGGGGGAGCGGGCAGTGCCCTGCGCGCGAGGAGCGCGGAGCCGACGCCCGGAGCACCTGGCAGGCTTGGCCCGGGCTGGACGCGGACGAGCTGGGGAGCGGCCGAGGGACCCGCGCCGCCTCCACTTGCCCGGCCCGGCGCTTCTCTCCGCGGCATCTAGGCGGCTGGCTGTGCTCGCGCGCGCGAAGGCGGTCCTGCCGGGCGGGAGGCAGCTGGGACGCTCGGGTCGGATGAACTACAGGCTAGGGCTGTTCCCTCCTGCAAGGCGCGCTGTCTGCAATTACCTGCGCGTTCTACGCCGCCGCACAGCTTCTCTTGTTTCACTTTTCTCTTGCAGACCTTGGCCAGGTTGACGGTGGGCTCTTAGGAGAGTCTTAGCGGGTGGCACCTCCTGGAGGAAACTCAGCCCGAGATGCTGATCAGTTTAAGGAGGCCTTGAAGAGGGAGGTGAGCGGAGCTCAGAGCCAGGCTTCACGGGTGGAAAGATAGTATAATGAGGTCCCACCGACTGAAGCCAAAGCCCGACTCTTAAGGCCTCACTCGAAAGGGACTGAGCTCATCACCAACTTGTCTATTCAGGTTCACCTGGACTTGAACTGTGAATCAAATTCAACTGAGAGTGCAAATGCTCTAGACGAAAAATATCCTCAGTTAAGGAGAACTTTGCCTTTCTAGTCTGGAAGGAAAGACAAGGCAGAGACCAAGCGATATTATAATTTGAAGAATGTGGAGCCCCAACAAAGACTGACGGAGGAAGAGAAGAACAGGTTACTAAATGGCCTACGGGGACCAGTCATTTAGCATCTTATTTAGCCCCACTGTTGCCTTAAGAGGTGTGTCTTTATTATGGCCACTTTACAGAGAAATGGAGGCTAAGTAAGAATGTATGACTAAAGGAAGATGAGAAAGATAGTGTCCAGCAAGATTTACATCTGAACCTGTGATTCTCCTTGGTTCAAGGCATTTCAGTCACTTAAAGTAGGTAGACAACTCCATGTAGGAGAGAGCAGTCCTTGGGCAAGAAAATGTTGGCTTGGTTGCTAACCAAATCAAGATCTGAACAGAAGCTCTGCCTTATTTTGAGTGAATGTTTCCTAGGGTTAAAAGATCAATGATAATTTAGATTAGAAGTTAAGATAAATATTAATGCTTCTGGAAGCTGAAGGGCTTAATTATCTCTTAAAGGAAATTGACACCTTTGGTGGGGAGGAAGTGTCACAGATGCAAATTTTAACCTCTGTTTCCATAACTCCCTCCTAGTCTCTAGATCGTTATTGGTGAAGATTTAGCAATTATACTATATAAACTGAATTCTCTCTCTCTCTCTCTCTCTCTCTCTCTCTCTCTCTCTTTTAAGGTAAGTATTGGCTGGCAGTAGTGAAGTTTACATCCTTCCAACAAATATTTACAAAAAGTTTGTTGTGGACAAGTTTCCAGGGTCGTTATCTGTTGGCAAAGGTAATTCAAACTCCAAGGAGGCCCAGAGGGACTGCCCTTCACCAAGACCCCTCAGCATGAGAGAGTCTTATAAGGACGACTGCCCCAAACCAAAGTTTCTGTGGCTTTTTATTGATAGAACCAGGAAGCAAGGATAAAGGACAAAGTAAGGGCATCTGTGTAGGAGTTCATATAGGGAATAGAGAAAGCAAAGGGGAAGGACAGGGGAAGGTCAAGGTGATCTGTTGCTTGAGTGACCTTAGAGCCAATCTAAGCAATAAAGCAGAGTATAGGAAGGAGGAGGGCCAGAGCATTCATTCTTTAAGGCAATGTGTTTTGATCCTACTTGGACTTGGAGCTATGTAGGCTGTCTTTTAATCTCTAACCATGCATTCCAGGAGGTTTTGGCTCCAAAAGTCTCTTAAATCTGCATGTCCATCTCACACATACTTGCAGCCATTGTCCCTACTTACCCCACTTTTTTTGTTTTACACATGGGTTTGGGGAAAAAGGGACAAGGTGAAGGTAGGAATGATATCTGGCTTGGTAAAGAAATGTCGTCATACCTTTCGCATGCAAAAATCTGCTGAAATAGTATACAGAGGGCTCTTAGAACTGCAAGAAAGAGCAAAAGGAAAATCACTTTAATAGCTATAAGAATCCACATGTGAAGGTTGAAAGCAGAGAGCCAACTTTTGGGATTCCAATAGGCAATATCATTGAAATGATCTAAAGTAATATCACAAGCTTCTAGTTGAAGTTTGTCTGGACCTGGAGTCAGGACTGGCCAGTGGAAATCTCTCCACTGAGATCAGCATGAAAAGTACCATGAAAGGGACACTGGACTTTGCCTCAAATTTCATAATGATTCAATGGAATTGGAGTGGTGCACATGGATGGTAACTAGCATCACAGCTGAGCCTACTGTGTGTCTAAAGAGCTTATTGATGTTTGCTGAGCCATCCAATATGCTTCAAGGGGTTCAACTCTTTGCAAAGTTTCTTTATCAATATAGGTTTGAGTTAAGAGCTCAGAAGTAATTTTCAAAATAGCCATATGTGGTTTGGTCAGTTTGGATGGAATAAGTTAGGGCAACAGCTGCTATGGTGGCAGTAGCTGCCAGGGCCTTTTCAGGTATAATGTCCAAAAACCACTTTTACCTGAGATGTTCAAGTGTTGAGGTAATTTGTTCAAGAGCAGAGTCTCTCACCCAGTTGCATATAAGATTATTGGGGCCCTAGGCTTTAACCCTTAGTCTAAGCACTGTAAAACTAGTAATATTTAATTGAGAAATATTATCATTATTGACACATGGAGTGAGCCATGTGGAGTTTGTAGGCAAGATGTAGTGAGAACCTTAAAAGGTCAATACCGAGGAGTGGATGAATTATAAACTGTGCAAATAGGTTCCTTTTCAGTGAGGACCAAAATATATGGGCAGGAATACAGATCATGACATGATCAGAGGTATCATAATAATCCATGTGAGCTTATCTATGTAATGATAGTTGCGAATTCTGACAGTGCAAGCAAAGAGAGGAATAGCTAAATGCCATAAGGCTTTTTAAAGGCGATATAAGTAGATGCAGAAGAAAGATGTGGTAAAGGTCCAGCAAGCCCAGGCTTCTACAAGGGAGGGCTGCCACTGTAATTAAAAGGTAAGCTATAATTTCAGGTTGAATTGGACCATGACAGTATCAGATTATGGGGCCCCCAATTTTCTAGGCTTAGGTTATAAGCAAGATGAACAATGGAGAGATTGGTGGACCACCAGAAGTCTACCCCAAATCCAGGTCATCCTATAGGCACCCACAGATGGGAACATACAGGAATATTGGTTTAGAAAGATTCCTGCCAGACACAGAGGAACCTAGGATTCAGGCAGTATTAATAAAAATTTGATGATGGGCCCTTTCAGTACAGTTTGGCCTGATGAAAATATGATTCATATACCACTGGGGCTGAGGGGGAATATAGTGGTTACTGGAGGTAAAATTAGTAACTAAAGACAGAAGGAATTCCTCAGTGAAAAGGTCTCATTCATGAGGTAGTAAAGGCCAGTCAATAGTGTCCAAAATGACCATAATTTTTATCATAAGCCCTTAAAGGGCTAGGAGGGGTCAACTAGGCTCTGTCAGTACAAGAGGTATCCTTGGAGGAGAGGGAGGCTCAGGGTCCCCCTCCCCTCAGGTGGCTGTATAAAAAACACAAGGTGTAAATATGTGCCCAGTGCATCTTGTCTCTTACTTTTGTTATACAGTTAAATACAGGGATCCTTTTATATTTGCCACCTTAAGAGTTGTAGTTAACTTGTGCTACCATTGTCAGAAAGAGGTTTTGTGAGGTAGAAGGGATGCCGGGTTTTTGTAGAGTCTGGTCAGCCTTTGTGGTGAGCTATTTAATCTCTCCCCAGGTAGGTCCTGAGGACTGTGTTGTTGTAGAGGGTAATGGATTTGTTCTCTTGTTGCCCATCCCTGGGGCGGGGGTACAGCTCAGGGATGGGGTTGCTTCTCAACTGGTGATAAAAAAGATGTATACCTGCTCCCTCAAGTGAGCAATTCCATAGGGCCCAGCCCTGTGGGCCAGATAAGGTCTATCTTTTGTGGGAATAAAATGTTTCTCCACTGCTCCGAAGCCATCTGAGTCACAATTTTAAAAGAATTAAAGAGTACTTTATATAATTATTATTGTGATAAACTTTTTTTATCATAATCCTCCTTTTTGTTTTAATAATTGAGTTTTAAATAGTAAATCTTCACCTTACAGGGTGACCAGTAGATCCAGAATAAAGGGCTATATGGGCCCTTTGACCCTCTAGGCTGACGCAGGTTAAAGGAACTCTGCTTTGGTGTGTGGTTCTAGAGTTGCCGAGACCTGTGTACTACGTATGAACAGAGAAATGAGTATATATGTAAGGCTGCAAAAGATTCTCAGCAAGTCACGTCCATTTGCCAAATTTCACTGACATTTTTCAATTAGATTTTATTGGTAAATTTTAGATATACATAATGATCACATTCATCATAGAGAATGTGTCCCTGTACAGGATATAACTTGATTCTTTTTTTCCCATTCCCCTACCCTCCCTTCAACCTCTCTTCCTCTCCCCACTTACAAAAGCTTTGTTTCCATTTTTTCCTTCTTTTCTCACTTTTTTCACTTTTCCATTCTTTCCTTTCCCCTCCTCCCCTCCCTTGTTCCCCTTTCATTGACTTTTAAGCTGTGGGGATTGACTCTTGCCTGAGTCATAGCTTTCATCAATCACAGTTGTTTTAGAAGTTGAATCCCTGTAGAATGTTAACAGATGACGATATAAAGTTTTACAGAGAAAATCTGAGAGCAAGGGGAGCATAATATTTTAGCATACCAATCATGATGACTTTATTATATTAGAACCATTAGGTTTTATTATTATCTCTGAAAAAGACTTAAATGTTCATCTCATATAGAATAACTTTTTAGTCGGTTACTATT